GGTGAGCTGACACAAAATGGCGACCAGTTTCCTTGGTGGCTTTGACCAGAGGGTCTCGCAGTAAAATCACACAACACAGCATTCTTTTCACAGATCAGAGAGCAGGTTTCTCTAAAGCTGACCAACGCTTAAGTCTCCAGTATACGTTTGCGTATGTCCGTTCACGCGTACGTACGCGTGTACTGTACGCAAAGGGTTCATACTTCATACTCGAGCGTTCACCCCGAGTGGCTGCAGAGCAGCTCCACAGACAATGGGCGTTTACCTTCGGGACAAATAGAGGTCACCGATTGGTCATTTGCTGACACGCCTACTGGATTGATTGACGTCAGAAAAAAAAGCGGAAAAAAAAAAAAAAAAAGAGCGCTGGCAGCCTCAGCCGCAGCGGTGTTCCGTGTTTATATGTTGTTAATAAAAAAGATCTAAATTTAATTAATTTATTTTTTTTTTAAAGGGAGCGCTGATCCTGCAGCCCACACATCAGACCAGCCAACCAGGAAATCTCCAGACCCTCCCGCAGCCATGCTGGATGCGAGTTTAATTCGCTCGTGACAAATTCCTTCATTTCTCACCAATTCAGTCATGGCATCAACGGAGGAGGAAGAGATCGTTTGCCTCTTGGCAAAAACAAAAAACAAAAGAAAAGGCCAGTTCAGGGATGAAGAAGGGGAATTTTATACATTGGTGTCGCATACAAAACAGTCCGTCGCCGGGCAGTTTATTGTGCGACACCGCGCACGCGGTCGTAAAAATTGAGCTTTGCATGGACATGCCCTGGGGGGTACGCTCGTACCTCCGCATACGTATGTGCATACCTCCGCGTATGGACGTACGCGGGAGTATACTGGGGGCTTTACTTTGACTTTCAACGGAAAAAAAACAACTTTCGATAGAACACAGCGTTTTGCGCATGTGTCCGAATACGGCAACACTACGGCAAGCTAGTTAGCTTGTAGCTTCGAGACTTAGCTCTCCAAGAAAAGACTTACACCACTTACACAGTTTTCAACTCAAAAAGTAACAATTAAACTGACAACTCTGATTTTACATCAGACACAGCATTACTGTGGTTAGCCAGCCGGTAGAATACAGATCTCTATCATAGGCTAAATGTCTATCATTTCTACTGTGTACCGTATATATCGCGTAATCCTAGCAGGAACAATTGCTTCTCTAGTGCCACTGTTGTCCGATCATTATCTTCTGATTCAGTGCAGTCAAACAATGGTATTTGAAGGCTATTATCATGCATGTTTGTGTTTCTGCTCCAACACACTTGATCTGAATGTATTTAATCTAGAATCCCCAATTTATCGTTAAGCACTTTGGTAACAGTTTGCTTTAAATGTTCTATAAATAAATTTGACTTGACTTGAATGAATGAGCGATTAACAGGATTATGTAGAACATGACCTGCTGAAAAGCATCAAAACCGATAAATCATCCACGATAGTAACAAAGTCCATGCTCAATAATCCAGGTATACAATCCAACATTTTTCAGTCAGGTCATCTGGACAGTTTCTTTTTTTTTTTTTTTTTGTGCTGGAATGTTTCGCCTTCGGTCCGGAAGGCTTCATCAGTCAAGGAAACACACAACAAAACTGATTCTTCCCCCATTCGCCCCGTTCCGCTTTGGAGTAAGCTGTTGGGGGAAGAATCAGTTTCGTTGTGTGTTTCCTTGACTGGTGAAGCCTTCCGGACTGAAGGCGAAACGTTTCAGCACAAAAAAAAAAAAAGAAACTGTCCAGATGACCTGACTGAAAAATGTTGCATCCATGATAGTGCATCCTCGAGGACCAATACCAGGTACCATTTTATAATGACTTACCATTTTCATTGTCTTCATTTGGCTTTGATACGTAAGACATTCTATTTTTTTCACCTTAAGCTTCAATAAAAGGGTCAAGTAGGACCAAATAGTGACTCTCCCTAGGTCACTTTTTGTATCTGTAATAAGATACTCTCTCATAGCTGCTAGCTGAACAGTGCCATTCATAAAACAGGGCTTTAGCATAGGGTGTCTCACACTGTTGCATTCCATTTCATCAGTTTACTGCACAAAATGTTTCTCAAACTATTCTTTAAGGTAATATTTTTTCCAGTTAATATACAACGTGAGATAGTTTAGATATTTTAAAGTGGGGTTCTGTGGAAAGGTTATGAAGAGCATGACTCCTGCATGTTCTAGATAGTTTTTTGAACATTTACATGGATAAATAAGAGTTTAAAGGCTTTTTCATACTGTGTGAAGAAGTGAAAATGTCAACTCTTGCTGACATAGTTGTGGGATGTTCTTTTCAGCATAAACCATTTTTTTCTCCACAAGAAACTGCAGCATGAAACTCCTGGAAGCCGCTTCCCTCAGAATGTCCACTTCCCTGTAGATTGTTGCTTCCCTTACTACAACCAGTCGTTTTTATTATACAGACCAAGACAGTAAACATGATTTGCAAATTTGTCACAAATGGATTTCCAGTTTCCAACAGACGATGCACATAACAAGCAAATGTAGTGAACGTGTCTCAACTCTGCCTTTTGTTGTAATAGTTGTAAAGATTGCATTTTGTGACAGATCAGCCAGCTGCCACTCTGCACAGGAGTTAAAGTGAAATAAGAGGATTGTAGTCCGCCCACTTTTCCACATAAACACATTTACAATGAAGTTCTAATTAATCACAATATTTAAAAAGTACCCCTGTGAGAAGACATTCTGCATGGATCTTGTGCACAAAACAGGCTCTTAGAGCTCTAGTGAGAACAAAATGACTTTTTTTTTGGTCACACAACTCCGTCAGAGAGAACATCTTCTCCAGCTCTATTCAGACCAGACTGACAAGATAACAATTAGTCCAAGCTTGAGAATTAGAATTGAGAAAGCTCCTCGGATGAGAAGCGAAACGTCTTCTGTTACAAATAAAGTCCAGTTGTTTTGATCTTGAACTTGTTTGAATTCACACAACATGGTTATTCTGGCAGAAATAGATTCTTGCTAGAAGTAGTTACCAGAAGTGCTACAATTAACTGTTGCTTTAGTACAACTTGCATGAAAGCAAAGAATTCTGTAAATAATGTAATGCCAAGGTGGAAAGGCAGTGGAAAGGTTAAAAAACAATAATGAACAGCTATGATTCTGGATTTGGTGTGTCTCATGTTGTCAAACACGGCATAAAATATGTCTGTTGTTCAGCCTGAATAATAAAAGTTACTAATCCCCAATGTAATCTACTTTTGTCACTTAATAGGCAGACACACACAGAGCAGAGGCAAAATAGTTTAATATGAAAGATGAATTAATACTGCAGTCAAAATGTTCCTTCCTTCCACAGTTTTACTGTCATCAGGTGGCTACGGCACAAAACGTTTGAAACAAAACAGCAGCTTTTCTGAACACTAAACACGGGTGTTTATTTTATGCAGCCTTTATTAGCTTAAAATAAAATTTTACGTTAAACAACGTAAGAAAACTGTAACTGCAGGAGGTTTGAGCACCTGAGCATCAGTGTTGTCAGGATCAAGTTTTTCTGGAGTTGATCTAGTTACCGTCATGTAACTAGTAATTAAAACCTACTCATTCTCTGCCATTATCGTCTCTACAGTCACCATCGCTTTGCAGACTGATGATCAGTGAAGCACCTTCGAATTTCTTTATGTGAGCTTGACTTTTTTTTTTTTTAATAAATGGAGTTTTTTGTGATTTTGCTCCTCTTTTTTCCAAAATATCTTGGTAAATTCAGGCAGGTCTGAAGCAAGCATTTGCTTGTTTGTTGTTCTTGCCAACAACATTATAAAAAAAAACATGTAGCTTACAAAAGTATCGGTAACTGAACACTGCCTTGTTTATAACGGGGAGTCCCTCCACATTGGCAATGCATACAGGACTTTCACATTGTTTTTATTTGATGAAATCGATGAAAGCACTTTGAATGCATGTCAGAATTTATTTAAATCAAACTCAGAGCTCTCAAACTTTAGAGAGGGGATACACACTTCTCTTTTCAAGCCATTAACTTGGAGACAATGAGCTGAACCACAAAAAGCTCGTAATTACAGTCTCATGTGTTCACCAACAGATTATAATGAGTGTGCAACCTTGTTGTACTATCTGACCAGAACACCACATTTATTGTCACTTAGCAACATCCATTATATAAATATTTTAGGTGTGCTTTTGGTGCAACAAGCTTCACAAATACATCTCAACAGTAGAGCCAAGCTGTGTCAAGCTTTAAGTGCTCTGCAGTGACAAGTTAGAGGCAAATGATGGTGTCCACTTTCAACCTGGCTTCCACCATAAATAACACCAAATGCTGCAAAGCTACACATTTGTAGTCTTAAATAAATTGTGATGGGATGCAACCATTTCAAACACCTCAATAATACACATTACATGAAAGTGATGATGAAAAGACAAAGTGTCCCCATCATCTAGTTCCCACGTGTTGGCTGGGTGAGCAAAACCTGCAAAGCCAAAAAGGGAACCCTACACATGATTGAGCATTGGTCATTGTTTAAAATAAGCGTTGTGGTTAACTGTTGCACCAAAGTGTGAACTCCACACAAGCGTGTGATACCAAAAAAAAAAAAAAACAGCTAAAAGAGCAACAAGCTAGGCCCTCCTCTGAAAGGCGGCTATGCTCTCATGGTTCTAATGGTTTAGGAGACTGAATATAGGTGTGTGTAAAATGAGTTTTGTACAGCAATTCAGGTGAATAAAATATATTTAACATTACCGAGCAGCTAAACGATGGAAACACACAAGCGAGGCTGTGAACGTAGCTACACGGAGCTGAAGTAGTAACGTGTGTTTAGCTGATGTTAGCCGACTAGCTTGAAGCAGCCCAGCTGACTGGACTGAAAGAGGAAAAACTGCCCGGTTACACGATGATGACACACAGTCTCTGTCGCACGGAACTGTCCGTGTCCGACAAGCAACCACAACATTGTGTCAGCATAAAGGTGCAGGATGAACCTAAATCACCCCCGTGCATGCAAACCTACCTTTGCCTTTTCCATTGGTGTGAATTTCAAGACGTGCACAAAAGGGTTTCTGATTGGGGGAGGCTGGTCCATTTTCTTTCCATCTCCTTCAATCGCACAATGTCTGCTACTCGGCAACCTCATGTTTAGATTAGTTAAGGCTGCTGCTGTTCTTATCTGTCTTTTTCTTCTTCTTCTTCTTTTTGAAGTGAACTGATTTTACCCAGTGGAAAGTCCTCCTTCAGTTCTGAGCAAAACGCCTTTTGCCTCCGTCTTGGATAAGCTAATTGAAGCGGCAGTGCAGGGCTATTAACGTTATCTTCCTTTCTTGGTCAGCATGGAGGGATAATGGTTGGCTCAAGGATTAACAGGGGGTATCTGAAGTCTCCGATAAATATCTGTCTGTCGGTCTCCACTGCGCAGGTCGCCTTCCTCTTCAGCCAGTTCCCCAACCAGACCTGCCTGTTAGCTCTCTGGATGCTAACGGAAGCGGATCGCTCACTCTCCTCCAGCAGGACGCATGCGCAGGATCATGTCGCTGAACAGAGCACGACCCGATGCTGCCTTCACAACTAACTAAAACATCGTAATTTAGACACTTTCAAATGAATCTGCAAAAAAGTAGAGATATTTTAAAGTAATTTGAGGTTGTAGTTGGTTTTATTTAACAAAAACAAACAAACAAACAAAAAAAGATTAACAATTTTTAATTATAAACAAATAAAAGATCGCTTAGACATAGCTAATATATTGTCAGTAACTGTTTTGTGATGGACTATTATGATATAATAACTCTTACGCAGTTTAAATAATCTAACGCAACATAATGCACGTCAAAGATAATAGGGTTAATTGAAATGGCTATATATTTTGCATTTGTATTCCTTCTCCTTCAAATGCATACAAACAAAACAAAACAAACAAACAAAAAAAGGCAGTTAATTGTACTTTTTAGATATTCCTACCTGATCATATATGTAAATGGTGTTAGGTAATTATACTCCAGTGGAAAAGACTTTTTAGAATACTTTTTTTTATAATCCCAACACCTCAATGTTAATGGATTTCCTGCTGGAGATAAATCAACAGGGCGGTGGCCAACTTGTACAAACTGTGATAGAGAATATTATATCAGAGCACAAATGAACAGGAAATAGGACCAGTTAATGAATCTAAACTCAGCTGCAGAGCAGACAGCATAAACTGGTTTATCTTGACAGATTGTTTAATAATCGTGCACCATGATGCTTAATGAGATCTGGTCAGATCTGATCTGATCTTAATAAGAAATCTTTTTAGAAATGTTCTGTAGTTAGAGGGGAGCGTAAAAGAAAAGATTAAACATTTAGACATTTTTCTGTGTTAAACAGCTGGTGAAAATGTCTGGTTTATGATTTCTTTTTATTCTCATGACTGAGTAAGCAAACACATTTGTAAGTGGTATTTGTGCTTTATTTTATTTTTTATTTTTATTGGCCACTTTTGTAAATTGAAAATGTCTGCATTTGTTTAGCCACTGAATCTGATCTGGCAATATTTCAGATTGCATCCTTTATTCAGTCAAATTCTACAGATTTTGGGCAAAAGTGATAAAAAAATGAATTTGTTAGTGTCTCATGATGACTTAATCTGATGAATTAAGATACAAGCTCCTTTTGAAAAAGAAACGGGTTCAGAGCAACATATTGCACTGGATTGTGTTTTCATACAATCAGTTTAATATGAACCCATCAGTCGTTTTTATTTTATGCAGGATTCACACAGTCATCTGCCTCGTTCATTTATAACTCCCCAGTACTTTGAGCATTATTATTAGTAGTAGTAGTACTCTTCTAATTCAGACATTTAAGTGGTTTGGCATTGTGGCCAGCCTCCTTATGCTTCAACATAATCGATTATATGCTGCCCTCTTGTGGTGAAGAACTCGTAGTGCTCTCAGATGAGTATTTGATGTATGCACACAATCAAACAGGTAAAGATTAATCTGGTGCGGTGTATTCTGTACTCTTACATGATTCATTCATTGGTTTTTGCCATCAAAAGATCAAAATTGTTTCCAGGTCAAGTTTTGTTCGAATTAGAAGAAGCAACAAGGCTTAACTGTATGAGCTAAAACAAATTAAAATAAATGAAGGCATCACCTAAAAGGAAACAAACAAATGAAGCTGTTTGTGGCTATTTAAAGACATATAATAATATATGGGACTCAACTCAAGCTGTATGACAAAGTATTTGTTTCTGATTTGGAAATAAGCATAACATTTATACCACAGCGAAGTTTCAACTACATTCACTTACCAGTTGTGAACAGAAACAATTTTAAAGAAATTTGTTATCTAATTATATTTATTTATTATCATTCATAAATAAGGGCAATAACAAGTCATAATATCCTTTTCCTAACTGGCATTAAAGTAAATGCCATGTTGAGAGCAGATTACACATTGGGCCTTCACTGAAGAGTAAAAATCAAATGAGAAGAGAGAAAAACATATATACATATTTCAGCTTAGATCTGGTCAGTTTGATTTGGTTTGGATTAAACAATAATTAATCATTTTTCTTTCTTAAGGAAATTATTCAGATCTTTTGAAGTGAGGTGAAATTAACGTCTTACATTTTGTAAATAGCTCTTGAAATGATCATTTCAGGGAAACAGAGTTTAATTCTGACTACACTGATGAGGTAGTCCACATGGGATCAAAACCAAATATGCTGGTTTCCTAAAACAGTAGTTTCATGGCACTTCATATAACATTATAAATCTTTACACTGTTGTCAAAATCACAATCCAGGTTTATTTGAGCCAAAATACGATATTTCTAACAGGCGTGCCCCGCAGGCTGCAGTGGAATACTTCAGCTGCTGTATAAAGTTAAAAAACACATTGACACATAAATAACCACAAAATACCAAATACATTTGTGTAACAATTTAAGAAATAACAAAAATGGTTAAATCGTGTCATCTGGACCTGTTTCTTTAAGTGAAGAAATGTTTCGCCCCCCCATCCAGAGGACTTCGTCAGTCTGCAGCCTGCCAACCAGATCTGTCCCATAAGTAACCTCCTGTTAGAATCTCACACGCAGGCTCTTTAACATGTGCAAACAGAGCGTACCCATCAGAAACCATCAATCATCATTAACATTAATCAAGTGTTTTTGGCCAGGTGGACAACTTTCTACTCACAGAAACATTCTGTGGACAACCAAGGTCTCTCCATGCATGTGTGGGTTTTCTCCAGGTCCTCCAGTTTCTAACCAACTAACTCTGCTTTGAATGACTTCTGTCCATTATCTTTACCTGCTTCTAACTTTTTGAGTCACAGGGGGTCACTGGTGCCCATGTCCAGCTATCACTGTGTGAGAGGCGCGGGACACCCTGGACAGGTCTCCAGTCCATCACAGGGACGCATAGACAAACGAGACTAACAACCATTCACATCATTACCAGTCAGCCTAACATGCATGTTTTTAGTCTGTGGGAGAAAATTGGAGAACCCGGAGAAAACCCATGCACAGAGAGAACATGCAAACTTCACAGAGAAACGCTCCCGGCCGGGACTCTATCCGACACATTTCTCACAGAGAGGCAGCAGCTCTACCAACTGTGCCACCCCCAGAATACAAACAATAACTGATATATTACAAATTAAACTATTAACAAATCAGTCCTAGTAGAATTGGAATAACACTTTTGATTAAATACTTAAGAAAAATGGTTTTGTAAAAAAACATGAATGTTCAATTGATCTTTTTTTGTAAATTTGTGTTTTATCATTTAATGCTGTCAATGTCAATAATGAAAATAGTATATTTTTTTAAATTATAGATTAATACAACCCCAATCCCAGAAATGTCGGGATGTTTGAATAAAATGTCAAATAAAAACAGAATGCATTTATTTGCAACCTCTTTTAATTCACATTGGAAGATTGTATACATAGCAAATGTTTACTATGAACTGTCCTGGTGTATGCTCAATAATCCAAGAAGATAAATGTAACAAGGTTGTGTCAAATACTCTGGACAGATTATTTTTTTGTTGAAACATTTCATCTTTTATCCAAAAGACTTCTCAATACTCACACTAACAGCATTTTAAGAGGGGGGCAGTTGAACATGTAGGCCCCTGTTTAATGATGGATGGTTTCTTTTCACAAAGGTGTCTTCCTTCACTCCTCTCTCAAACCATCGTTCCTCTCTATCATGGATGTGAACACCTTCATCCCTGAAAGAGTGACCGCTGGCCTGGAGATGAGAGTAGAGAGTCCTGGCCTGATGATGTTGCTCTTCTGTGCTGGGCCATCCTTTTGACCAGTGGCTGTTTAGTTTCCCCGATGTAAGACTGATCACAGCCCTCCTGACACTGAACAGCATACACAACATTACTCTGTTTGTGCCGGGGGACTGGATCTTTGGGATGGACCAGTCTTTGCCGTAATGCATTTTGGAGTTTGAAAGCTACTAGGAAGTTATGATTAGAAAATAAACATCTCAGATTCTTTGCAACGCCAACAACATAGGGAACGACCACTGGCCTGGGTTCCTCCTTTTCACCTGATGGCTGAAGTCCTGTTTGGTTTCTTCCCAGCTTCCCAGGGTATCCACATTGCTCCAGAGCCTGTTTTGTGTGGGATTTCTCCTTCTGCCTGGCTGTTACGTTTGTGGGGACACTGTCTGCTCTGTGGTGCAGAGTCCTCCTAACTTGTGATCCAGCAGGTGATGGGAATCAAACCACAGGTCTGTATGAGTGGATTTGCAGTAAACACAACTTACCAAATGTCCTCCATCAGAAACTGAAACTTCACGGTTCAAGAAAGCCAACCCACCATCTTTTACATCTTCTTGTGTGAACCAGTGGCACTTTTAGCCTTGTTTAGGGCGTACTCAAGCACCCCTGAAAAATAAAGAAACCATCATTAGGATTTTGTAAGGAAACTCAGTTCTCAAACCATAGATTCACCAAAATATTGAATTGATTTGGAATAAAAGTGGAATAAATGATGACACTCTTAAACAGGCCAGTAAAATCTATACTTTATTTTTGCACGTCGGATCCTCAACGCCATCTGTCAATCAGTCTAACATGCTTGTCAGCAACTGACCAATCAGTGATTTCAATTTGTCCTGAAGTGAAACTCTCCTTACCTGCAGGAGCTTCACCCCGTTTTCCCCCAACAACATTGTTAGGGTTTTCCTATCATGAACACTTTGCGGTCAGAGATATTTCATGAAAAATCATCAGAATAAAATGGTTAAACGTTGTCAGTATGGAACATGTACTTCAGACATGGTTACCCTGAGCGCTTAGAGGCTGTAATACTATTTATTCCATTTCCAAAACCTGAACAGAATCTAGAAAAACGTAAAAGATGGATAAAACCCTGAAGCCGACCTCATGAGCAGCTTGAATTGAACTTGAATACAGCAGTGACAAACAGGAAGTACCACATGTTTGTGAAGATAACTCCAAGTAAATCCTCCATTTTCTGTCATAATTACATTGTATGCTTA